CTGCATAATTTACGATTCAGTGTTTGAAGAAATTCATTTAATCATGGCTTTCTACATAACGGGTTTGGGAGAAGCTCAGCGCACACAGGTTCCGGCCCGGCCAACATTTCGGGGTTTTCGGGAACTCTCTGATTCTTACCCAAAAGCTGCTGCCGAAATGGTAAGGGGGGTATAGCTCACGTGAAACGGGGAAAACCCAGAAAAGTCATCGAATACAAGTATAATACAACCCGCTCCTTCTTACCTTCCAGCGACCAAGTACCATCCCCTCAGTGAGAATCCCCAACCTGCAACGTGCCCTGTCTGAAATACCAATATACAGCTCTGAAAGTTTTATTAGTGAGACGGTCAAGACAATCGTAGTCTGCCGCTCCGACGCGCGCGGGGAAGGGCGCGACGTTTCTGTGAGTTTTGTTTACCTGACGACTGGAGAACCGCATCTCAAGTAGACGATTATTGTTATTTGGTTTTATTTTGCCTATTGTCCCCATCTATAGTGTAGTTCGCTGCGGACGGTTGGGCGTGTCAGTGCGGCTGCGTTTGGCGCGGTGCCAAACTCGTTCTCCAGTTGTTGAAGCGGGCAAGTGACAATACTGTATCATATCCTTCGTATTACTCGTTTTCTACCACTTTTTGTCGCATGCGCGCTTCAACAAGAAGGCAGAGAACGGCTTTGACGGGGTGACACACTCATACTGGCCTGACACGCCCAACCGTCCGCAGCGAACTAGAGTGTACGACTCAGAAACGTCGTCACTGGCGAGCGCGGCGTCGCACGCGACTCTCGCCAGCGCGGCGAATTACAAGTTTCTTGCCACATACCCGTTTTATTATACTGCAGGCACCCACAATGGCAAAGAAGCCTTGGGCACCCCAATGGTGTATTCAACGAATGACACCGAAGCTCTAGAATATCAGCCCTATAACAGATACGGTGACGCCTATTGGATGGTTGAGTTACTTGTTGCTTGCAACGAAACTGAAAACGGCTGGTTTGAACTGAAGGTGAGGAGGTTTTCATGCTATGCTTGGGATGATGGAGGTTATTTCAGGGTTATTTTGCGCCCTCGTCAATTTGGGAGCCAGATATAAAGCAGGAAGAGTGTTCTGGTGACATAGGAGGGAAGGTTCCGTTTACATCGAAAAATCACATTGCAAAATGTGGAGCAGTCAATGTCTTTGAGTGGGCAAGCGGAAAATGTATCATAGACACAGTCTAATTATTGCACTGCCATTGAATAAACTTTATTACATTTTGGACTACAATCACCTTATACAAGGGATGACTTATGGTCCCTCCTTGATATATTTCGTGTCCTTCACCCGGCGCAGTTCGGCGACGGGGGGGGGGCATTTTGCACTTTTGTCACTTCTCAGTCGAGCCATCGAGAGAGCCTCACAGAGTTGATAGAATTTGTAATGGTGGCTGCACGAGCTCCAGCTCCAGCTCCCAAAAAATTCTCAGGTTGCCAGCCAGAGTCAGACTTGCTAAGGCAGAACTAGTGAGGCCTGCAAAATGCCCTGCCTTTCGTCGCCGAACAGGGCCCTCTTTAGCGCGATGTTTTTGCCTGTTGTACGGCAAAACGTTGCAACCGCACTGTAAGTCGGGAAATTTTCATAAAAAAAGACACCTGTATCTGATTTTGTTGGCGGGGACCGGGAATTTGTGGCATTTTCCAGAGTTCAGGCAGATCCTTTCTAGCAAAGGATTTCTTTTGTTTCGAGAGAGAATATGTTCGGGTTTGCTTGAAAATTCTGGAAAAATGCCATAAGTATGCAAGTCCCGCAAGCCGCCGAGTTGCAGCTTTGATGGGTGTTTTTTGTTTTTTCGGCTTAACTGTTAGGATAGTAATTGGCAGTCGGAATGGCAAAGGAACGAATGCAGTGAGCCAGAGGCGTTATCTCTTTTTAGTGGTATGTGCGAAAATCTTGCCATGGAAGCTGACGAGTTCGTAACTGAGGTGTTTCGCCCTCGGTATTTTTGCTTTCATTTTTTCCAGCTGCGAGTCTTTAGCGGCTACGGACCTTTTGTTACCCACGAGCGTCATCCTACTATATATAATCCGCTATGTGTGTGTGTGTGTGTGTGTGTGTGTGTGTGTGTGTCACGAAATTCATAGCGAGCGTCGCAGAAAAGATAGGATGACAGTTCCAAGAAGTGATATACATGGCAGGACGGGAACACTTTTGGTGGGTGTCAGGAGGTGATAACACTTGATAAGATACGATAAGGGGCCGTAGAAGGGGAGGGTGACTGAATTCGTAGCGCAAGTTGCAGCAGGTGTGGGACCGTGATTTCAAGGAGTGATATACATGGCAGGACGGGAACACTTTTGGTGGGTGACAGGAGGTGATAACACTTGATAAGATTCGATAAGGGGCCTTAGAAGGGGAGGGTGACCGAAATCGTAGCGCAATTTGCAGCAGCTGCAGGACCGTGATTTCAAGAAGTGATATACATGGCAGGACGGGAACACTTTAGGTGCGTGACAGGAGGTGATAAATTGATCAAGATTCGATAAGGGGCCTTAAAAGGGGAGGGTGACCGAATTCGTGGCAAGTTGCAGCAACGGCGGGACATGATTTCAAGTACTGATATGCCGTAGGGTGGGGCTGGCAGAAGCTGATAACAGTTGATAAGATCCGATAAGGGGCCTCGGAAGAGGAGGGTCATCAAATTCGTGGCGCAGGTTACAGCAACAGTGGGAACTCAGATCCGTGAGGTGATATAGGGTGTGGGACGGGAACATTATTGGGGCGACAGAAAGTGATAACAGTTGATAAGATACGGTAAGCGGCCTCGGAAGGGGAGGGTCATCAGATTCGTAACGCAGGTTACAGCAACAGTGGGACCTCTGATCCGAGAGGTTTGATTAGGGTGGATATGATAGTGATACGGGACGGGAGTGTTATTGGCGGGTACGGAAGTGATAGGAGCTAAAATTGACAAGGTAGCATGGGAAAATCCGCTTCACCGCTCACAACAACAATGCGATCGATATGGTAGCATGGGAAGATCCGCTTCACCGCTCACAACATCAATGCGATCGATATGGTAGCATGGGAAGATCCGCTTCACCGC